CCATAGGCCAATCCTACAAGCCATACACTCACTCATGTAGTTGTCGTCGGTGTACGTATCAAACACGTCGCTAATACTCCATTTATCTATGCATTCACAAACATCCTCCCTTCAGGGGTGTTAGAAGGGGCTAACTTCGTCCATGCCACTCAGTCCTTCACCGATTCAGTCTTCCCGTCCACCACTGCAAGACTTCCCTAACTCGGGCAATCTCTAGCATAGTGATTCTTACTCCGGTAGATAAAACACCCATCGTATGTTGGTTCTGGCTTTCTTATGCTCTCGGCTGATATCACCAGATCGTGGGTTTTATCAGGTCTGATCTCCCCCACTTCTACTTTGATTAGCCCTCTTCAAATTATTGTCTTTGTTCGGCCTTTTCCATTTGACCTCAAGTACCTATTGGGCGTATCTTATCACCTTAATGTTCAAAGGGGTCTTCTTCTTAAGCCTTAGCTTAGCTCATAACCTTAGGCCCTCTAAGAATGTTAACAATGCCTCCTTAAGAGACATATTCGGCACTTCCAATAGCAGATCAAAGAACTTTTCAATATACTCCTTCAAGTGACCCTCTTGATGCTTCAATTGATGGATCCTACAAAATGCCTCATCCTCGGCATCGGTTGGTGTAAACCCCTCCTTATTTCTCACTTTAACAATCTCCACGTGGTGATGCCTCTCTCATCACCGTGCATTTCTTTATTCCACCTTCACCAAGTGCGGGCCAAGCCCTTTAGGAATTGAGATGCAGTTCAGATCTTGGCTTCATCTCTCACGATGCTAGCATCCTCGAAGTATTTCTCTATATCATAGAGAAAATAATCCACCACTCGAGCCTTTTGTTCCCCTGTACAACTCTTCGGGCATGGGATATTCCTCTTTGGGGCTTCCGGGTCTGCCTCAATTGGCCTCCTTCTAGAGTTCAACTAGAGTCACTCTCATCGCAATCAACTTTTCCTGAATATTTGAAGGGTCCGTAACCTTAGTCTTCTTTAGCCTTGCAATCTTGACCTTGCACTCGCCAGTTTATCCCTCACAACATTGACCGAGGCTATAACTTCTTCATGCAACTCATTATCCTCGAGTTTGCAAATACATTGCTCCACTTCACCGAGCTTGTCGTGACAATCCCCGATGGTCATCTCTACCTTAGCCAATCTATTCTTGAAAGCTCCCATAACATCGGAAAACTTGTCCTTTGCGTTCCTTCGGTTCCATCTCGGGACCTGGTTCATAATCTCGAATTCAACATCAAACTTGTCAGTCGCCATTTCCTCAAAACCTAATTCTGATACCACTTGTAACGGGTTGGATGGTTCATCCTCGAACGCCTTCCTATCGGCCTAGAAACTCCTCGGCTCTCATATGAAACTTTCTAGTACAAAATCGCACACACCCTTAAAGGCACACTAAAATAGAAAACAAAAACACCGCAAAGATACACCAGACAAAAGTAGAGTGTGTATAGTTCTTTGTGTAGTGAAGTGAAGTTACAAATGAGGGGTGCTCCTCTATATACAGACACTCTAATGGATCGTGCCTAAAATAGACCAAAGTATTCACACACGAATAGACTCTATCTATATAAATATATGGATAAGGATAAATTGTACAAAAGCTATGGATAGACCAAGTCTATTGGATAGACATTGACTCGATGAAAGGGTGATCTCGGCATTCCTGGAATGTTCCAGAATATTCTTGGAGATTCTAGAATATTCTGAGAGATTTTTGCTAGCCTCTCCGATTTGGCACGTCGCAGGGCCTTCCTCATCATTCCTCGGCCAACAACCCATGAAGACATCCAAGGATGGGAACACAGGTTGAATCCAATTCAAGAGTGCCCCAAGCGGCTTCCAAGTAAGTCTAATATAAGATTGGATAAAGTAAGAAGTCTACAAGCAAAAAATCTACCCCAACGCCGGGTAATAAGGATGAAGTAAGAAGTCTACTCCAAAAAATGTACAAGTAAAGATTTTATTCATCATCTTCTAGGGAAGTTGGATCTAAGACAAGATAATTTATAAGATCAATTTCCAACCTATTTTTCGGGTCAAAAAGTCAATCTTATTTGCATCGGAGTTGTAGGATGAGACTTTTTTGCAGACTTATTCCGGTAAATCTATCAAAAAAAAAAGAGTGGAGATAAAATAAAAAAATAAAAAATAAAAACAAGAAAAAAAAGAAAAGAATGCAGCCAAATAAACTTTGGTACAAAATAAACCTTCTTAAATCGGACCTAGAAATCCCAAGGACTAACTAGTGCAACATTTTGACAGTAAAGTCCAATATGATGGAGAACTGTAAAGAATTTGACTTCTTAAAGAGGTTTCAGAGTTTAGTAGGGTGTTAATATGGAGATTTATAAAATTTTATGAAAGTTAATGAAACCTTACAAAAAGGGAGGTTTAATGAAGATAATTACTTAAAGTGAAGTAATTGAGGTTTAATGGAGCTTCATTAATTGAAGTTAATGAAATGTGGGAGAGTTGTGAAAAATGATGAAGTTTAGATATAAAATGGAGGAGATACCAAATGAGAGAAAACCTCCAAAACTCCAAAAAATATATATATATATATATGTTCCTTATATCCTTTTATTTTTTGTTCTTTATTTTGTTATAATTCATTTTATTATGCCTTTTTAATTCCATGCAGTCGATTTACCTTTGCATTCCTTTCAATTTATGTGCTCTTTTTATGCTTTTGTTCTCTTCTTTCAATTTTTACTTGTTTTTCTTACTTTCTTTTATGTTATTTATATCAATTTTGTTTTCTTTTCGTTAATGTGTTCATCCTAAATGAGACTAATTCTAAATTTTTCTTGTATGGATTGGAATATATTGGGTTCATCGGAAAGCTAAAAAGATGGGTTTTCCAATCCATGCAAGAAAAATTTAGAATTAGTCTCATTTAGGATGAACACATTAACTAAAATAAAACAAAATTGATATAAATAACATAAAAAGAAAGTAAGAAAAACAAGTAAAAATTGAAAGAAGCCAATTTACATCAACAATAGTTATATTTAGAAATTCATGATGATTAGGAATCAATCAGGCAAGTCTTCTGATTTATATACGACAGACTCCCATGTTTTAAAGAGTGAAGCAGTTGTTCCCACCCATCCATTAATGTCTTGTTTATAATAATTTTATTAATATAAATATATTAATAATGTCTGGAGGTAGACAAGCAAGTCTTTTAGAGGTGAAAATAGACATGATCATCTTGCCTATGGTTTGGGGATCTTTTTTAATCTGATTTATTTATTAAAAAAATTCATTTCGAGTTTATTTAAAATCTATTTAGTTGAATAGAACAGAAATAAATTTCACGCAAATATTTTTGGCCTATCAGACGGACCTATTTATGGGTATATATATATATATATATATTTTCAATCTATAAAAATATTATACTTTAAGTATTTATAATTCAAAAGAAATTTAAATTTAGTGACAACTAAATCATAAAAAAAAGGTTTATTTTAACTATTTTTTATATATAATAAATATTGCATCTATTTTTATTATTATTTTTTTTTTTTTACTAATTTTGAGTTTGAAAAAAAAATTATATAAGTTTTTAAACAAGTTTAAAAGTTAAAATGATATGTGAAAAATAGATTTTTTAATAGCTTTTAATTTATTTTAAATTATTTCATCTATCAAACAACTAATTTGATTCTTTAATAAATTAGTTTTTTGAAATATTTATTGGAACTAAAACACTAATTACTAAAATAATAAATATAAGAGTTTTTTTTTTTTTTTTATTTGTCCTCAAAGTTTTTTATTCACATATTTATTAATATATGTTTTATTATATTATTTATTATAATATAATATTTTCTATTAGTAAGTATTGAAAATTTTATATAAATTTAAAGTAATTGAAATTATTATTTTTTATATGTGAATTATTATTTGTAAAAAAAAATTAAATTTATTAAACTTAAGGTTTTTTTTGTTTTGTGTTTTGATTTAAAATGACATTTTCTATATAAGGTATAGAGATGCATAATATAAAAATAATAATTATATATAATATATTAATTTTTTTTTAAAAAAATGTGTTTGATATTTTTAAAAAAGAACACATCCTAAGATAAAATGAAAAATATTAATATTAATAATTTATTTTTATATATAATTGTTTATAACAAAAAAGTTTGTATTAAAAATGATTAAAATAAAATAAATTTATTTGAAATTATAAATTTAGTAAAATAAAACAGTAATTAAAAATTAACATAAGAAAAATAAATATACAATTGATTTGTTCTTTTATTCTCCCTCCCCCCAAGTAAAACTACCATCATGTTTTTTTTGTATTAATTTAACAAATAATAATATTTCATTAATTAATGAAAATATATATAATAATTTGGATATTTTTATTTTTACAGTACAAAAAAAAATTAATATATTTTATTAAGATTAGATTATTTTGATATCTTAATTGCTTTTACTCTAATGAAAAATAAATACACTTTTGAATAGAACATAGTAAAAAGAGTATATTGAATTGAAAAAATAGAAAATTTTATATTATTTTTAATTAAAAAATTACTCATATTTTTCAATAAAAATATATTAACATTTTTACAAAATATCAAAAGTAAATATTTTAATAATACATTTATAATTTTCAATGTAACAAAATATTTTTAATTGTAGTGTAAACTTGCTAATTTATCAAACACAAATAGTTAATATATTAAACTAATAAACTCAATTAATAGCTAAAATCTAAAAACTAATTTGCCTTCCTCCCACCACAAAACCTAGATCTTATAAATATATTTTTCAGCTAATAAATCAGAGTCAGGTTGTCAATTTTTTGCAAAACAAATCCCGGCCAATTTAGCCAAAATCTGGGCTCACTTATTTTCACCCCGACAAGCAGACCTATTTGGGATGATTTTAATCTATTTTAATTTCCATAAAAAAATATCTAGAAATCTGCATCCAGAACAACTAAGGAACAAACACGTATGACAAGAACATGGATTAGGCTATACTAAATTTAGATTTAACTTCGAACAAAATTTTATTTACACGACGGCCACATTAATTTACCAGACCATGGTTATGTTTTTTGCATGTGTCATCAAGAACATAAACATCCACTTCTGATACCTCTTTCTTATTGAGACCTTGTAAAAGTTATGTGAAAATAGATCCCCGAATCAGCAAGGCCTGTTACCAACAAGGTAGCCCGTTATTCACTGCAGCCAATGCGATGATGATACCAGATCTATAACACACTAAGTCGACACAAATGGAATGCAAAGGGTTCCGCCATATTTCTCACCCACCGAAGCCTGTAAAAATCCATATCCAAGAAAAAAAAAACCATAAAAAACTCATTAACAAACAATTACTTAAAATCAAAATAACATTAAACGAACATGGAGGGTAAGAACAAGATGTTGCCATCATTTCATTATTATTTCTTTTAATGACGTGGGAACCCGGGTTTACGCAGAGCCATCATTTCAAATTTAAATGCATTGGAGTTGTGTATGAATTTGGCCGTATAAAAAGGGATGAAGAAGGTGAGTCAACCTGCACGTGAGGAAGAATGATGTTGTAAACTTCTAAGAATATGTTCGACTTTAAAGTTAACCTGCAAGTAAGAACAAAATAACAACAAAGAAACATCAACAACACATGCATCTTTCAAATAAACACAAATGCTCTCAAGCTAATCAAATCCTCCCAAAATGGATACAAACTAACACAACTAATTTTGAAATTAGTTTGTGGTCATTAAGCAAGCCTGAATACCACACAGGCATGCAGAAATCAAGTATAATAAAAATAATCATTATGAAAACAACACTTTACCAATAAACGTCTTCTCCAATATACTTACCTTTTCAAAAGGCAGATACAGCAAGAAACCTCCTCAATATTTGTTGCAATTTTGAGATCTATGTATTGCTTGATAAGGTCACACAACCAACTGACCGCAACATTATATCCATCAGCTCCCTCTATGGTTATCAATGTCCGAGACATCAGACGCTGCAGTAGAGAGGACAAACAACTACAAGATCCAGACTCGTAAATCATTGCACACCTATTTAACACTTTGCAGGTACTGATTCTAAACTTCTCAACCCACATTGGAGGGCTTCCAATCCAAAGCTTATTTGATGTGGAAGCTTCAGAATCAATTTGTTTATCAATTCCAGTAGCAGATACATCTCTAACAAATTCCGCTTCTCTGTGCTGCGGAAGAAGTTTAATAATGTCCTTTTTCAATTCATCAGGCAGTTGTTGTAACACTAAGCAATCGACTTGACTTAGGGATGATGGCATTAGATTTCTTGGACAAGACGAAGCAGCGTCATGAACAACATTTGCTTCATCACCATGCTGCATATTTTAACAATCGCACACAACGTTAGATTTATTAGGCTGTACCACCAGCAACTCTAAACCAGAAGCAAACTCAGAAAACAGCTCTAAAATCAAGTATATAAGATATTCATTCTAAAAGATCGCCGAGGGTGTGTTCTTTTTGCCAAAAAACCGCATATCATTATTTTTATATTACCTACGCAATTCCCTATACCCCACATAAAAAAATATCTCTTCAAATCATTTAACAAAACAAACACACCCTGAGCCCTTCCAAAGAAAAAAAAAATGTACAAGAACAGTCATTACCTCGTTAGTCCTTAATTTATTTGATTGAACAATATGAGCAGGCGACCGTTCTGTTTCCTGAACTGTGAAACCTGCATCTAAGAGTACTACATCTTTGAAGCCCTTATGGAATTTAAGAATTATACATGGCCCAAACAGAAATTGTTTTACCTTTACTTGTTGCAGTGAAGACCATTTCTGTTCTCTCTGTTTTGCTTTTATTTTCTGAAATGAACTCATATAACATACCACCATACATCTGATTAATTTCTGAAACCACTTCAGGAGGAAGAGCATCTATCACAGTCATATCAAGATCTGGAAGACAAGGAAGGTTTGCGTTCTTGGAAACACCAGTTTCAGAGTGTGACAGGCTAGAATCAGTTCTAATAGAAGATCCTGTTATATTGGAGTGTGGCTGCCATGAAACTTTCCCATGACTCAGCCTCTGATTATCTAAAATAAATGGAAAAATATAAGCTCAGAATGTGACCGACACATCACAAATAGCTGTAACTTAGTGAGTAGTTAATCAGGATAAACTAAACATGACAACAAAATAAAACAAAATAAAATAAAAAATGTCTTCAGTACACAATCAAGAGTAATTAAAGAACAACCTGAAAGTGCATCAAGATTGCATGGCTTGCTAGTGTTGGAGAGGCCAATTTCATTATTAGCATTGACCTTAGCTGATCCAGACACAAGCCAAGAAAGGATGGAATTTCCTTTGCAACCTTGAATTCAAAAGGAAAGGAAAATAAATAAATAAATAATAAAAAATAAAATAAGTACACAAAAAAAATGCAAATAATAGAGATGAACACCTTGGTGCCTGGCCAACTAATATACCATATCAACAAATAAATCCGGTAAATACCTATTTTGTTATCATCAGCACCTTCAAGTTTTGAGGCCTGCAAACCCATGCCTCGAATATCTTCAACATCTGGCATTAAAAAGTCAAATTACAAGAGTGAAAATGCATTCACGGTACTATTCACACCAGAATTTCTATAAATTCTATCATAATGAAATTCTCTAAACAAGTTCTAAGCTCACTCTTGTATGAAATTAACAATTGCAAACACAATCAAAGCAGTACCTATAAGCTCATTCCAAGTATGAAAATAACAATTGCAAACACAATAAAGACAATACCAATTGCAATCTTAACCAAGACAGCACCAATTTCAAAGTTCAAACAATCTCACACTCGGACTGCAATACTCTGTTTAGCACTTGATCTAGATACCACGTTCTGGTTCTTGCTTTTACCTACTAATCGTCGATATCTAATGGCTCCCCAAAAGCTTTTCCTTCATTCCTAATTATCGGTTTGGTGTTACAAGAGCACTGGATGGTTTCACCCCAATCTTTCCGGTTTTCATTAGCAGATCAAGAACATATTTCGTTAATGTCAATATATGTACAACGATAAAGCACAGAATGATCCGATCCACACTTTATCATTCCAAAGGCCTCATTCACGTGACTAAACTTGCCAAACCATGCCTGAGGACTCACTTTCAGGCCATATAAAGACTTTCGCAAAAAGAACACTTTCCCTGGAGATTGTTCCATATGCACTTCTTCAACAAGGTCATCATAGAGAAAATTATTTTTCACATCCAACTGCCACAATGGCCAAGCATGACAAATAGTCAAAGAAATCAATATACGAACAAAAAAAGCTGCACTAGTGGCGAAAATGCCTTGGCATAGTCCAGATCATAAGTTTGAGCATAATATTTAGCCACAAAACATGCCTTGAGGTAAGCAATAGAATCGTCATAATGAAATTTAACCGCAAAGACCCAACGGAAACCAAACAAATGTTTCCTGCCGCCAGAGGAACCAAGTTCAATGTAACATTAGAATCCAGTGCATTCATAATCATTGCCATAAGCCAACCAAAATGAGAAAAAATGCCTTGGAGAGACTTTAAAGTAGATATAGAGTCAAGAGTAGAAAACAAACAAGAGGGATGAGATAAAGTCACTAGTAACAATAAAGGCAATAAGATATAAGCACACTAACGTTTACCTTTACGAAAAGTAATAAAGAGAACTTCCGAAGCTACAAGAGGTACATAAAGAGAAGTAGCAGACTCCAGGAGCGAAGTGGGAAAGAAGAAAGCAAGAACCACGGGCGAAGAAAAAATTAGCACTGGACACGGCAGAAAAGGTCTAGGACGTGGAAGAAAATGTGTGGAACGTAGATAGTTTTATATGGATCTCGAAGTTGAGATGATATAAAATAACCGGTCGTAGTGGGAAGGAAATAAGAGCACCATAATTAAAGGGAAAACTAATAGATTCAGAGAAGTGTATGACCAAAGAAACAAGATAATGGTTAAGATATGAACAATAACACCAATAGACCTTCTGAATACCAAAGTATCCATGGAAGAGACATTTAAGAGGCTTGAAGTCGAGTTTAGTAATATGTGGCTGAATATTGCAAACGTGACAGACACCCAAAGATTGTGGTACAACTGTACCAGTAATTAATAACTTCTTTAAAGCACAATAGCTCAAGCATAATTATCATCCTATAAAAATTAATTTAAAAATCATATAAATTTAGAGAGCACAACCAAACAGCACCTAATAAACAAAATAAAAATTAAACATTAGAAAATTAATTTCTTTCATGAATAAAAACAAGAGAAGTAGATCCAAAAGTAAATGCATTTGAGAATAATTAAATTTTTTGTCAAAAGATTATATTGTTGTATCAAAACCCTAGCATATGGCATAATGCTGGAATGAAGAAATTCCTTGAAGTTAAAGCTAATTGTGAACAGAGATGAGCAGGAATATTGAAAAAAGAAATGATATAACCAAATGATGAGATGGAGGGGAGATAAAAGAACTCATAACACTTACCAACGTGAAAATGAGCAAAGAGCTGGGTAGCCAACCTGTGAAGCACATCTGCATCATCTGTGGCCATAGGTATCTGGTACATATGGAAGAATTATGTATGACAAACAACAGTACATGTGAAGTTGTTTATAAATTTTGTATTACCGTTATTGTATGGCTAAGATTCTGGCAGTCTCCACAGCCCATATATTTCACTGGCTCTCCTGCATCACTTCTCTTCTTCTTTATCTAGGATAAAGATGGAGAAAATTTTTAAAGCATATTGTAAATTTGAAATCTGAGTATCACTAGGGATTGAAATGAATGCATGTGGCACTATACCCAACTGTTACATTAATAAAAACTTTCTACTGCAGAAAAACAATTATATACCTTGAGAGTAAAAGATCGCCCTTGCACTCCACAACCTTGCAATCTGAGAGAAACTTCCTTGCACAGTTTCATGAGAAAATGCTGAGTCTGAAAACTTAAGCAGTTAGCAAATAAATTTTTAGACATTAAAAAATAGTTGGTTCTACAATGTCCCACGAACATCATCTGAATTCATGAATCTCACACCCCAGTTTACTTCAGCACCAATGGACTTGCTTTCCTGCAAAATGTGAAAACCATCTGAAGTAACTATTGACAGCCAATAAAGTGGAGAAATGAAGCGCATAGTCAAAAGCAATAACAGGGCATTTTGGAGAGAGAGAGAGAGATTGAGAGAGAGGCTTATTGATCTCAAGATTAAGCTTCCAAGGAGGACAGCTCCATAAATATAAAGAAGGCATTCTAATCTCAAAATTAAGCATCTAAGAGACTGCCCTAACGATGGCGGAATATTTCCGAGATATTAATGAACAAGACATACTTTTATTTATCAACAATATCTTCCGTTTCGTCCAAACAGGATCCAAAGTATCGGCCTTATTAGATAGAATGTCTTCCGCGGTCGGTTATCAACCCACCCTGAGTACTGAAATGGACCATTTACAAGAAAGAATTACTTCTACCAAAGAATGGTCAATCACTTAGCTCTATATAAGCAAAGAAGGCATTATTAGGGTCACTCTCGAGACAAATTTGGGGGAGGGGCCCATGATGAGCACTGAAGAGACAGCCAAGGGCTCTCATGGCTGCATAAATCTTTGCATAATTTGAGGCTAGGAGAGAATTAAGAGAAGATGACCATGATGGTCATACACGACAAATCCAATACCTGTCGAGCCAAACGATCTGTGTTGATGTTCTACCATCCCATAGGATATGGCTTCTACAACAAGGAAGGTTTGGCAAGATCTCCACTTTGAAAATTTAGAAAAGAGAGATCATGAAAGATGTAGACAAAAAAAAGCTAAAGAGATATCCATACTACCGAATCGGGCCCAAATCAAATCTTCAAGAGCAAAGCGGATCCCATTACAACTCAAGTCACTAAAAAATCCACATTCCTAAAAGCCACCCCATTCTATCCTTCCAAAATTCCCATGAAGATGCTTTGACAACCTATTCCAAGATTCAAAGTTGCAATTTTTTCGAGCAAGACTTTTCGATTGGTTTAGCAAAATAGGGCAAGGGGAGCAAGGGGAGATAAAACCCAAATAGAAACCATTGAGAGGCAAAGAAGAAAGAAATAGGAAATAGATTTGCTGCAATCCTGAACAAAGGTAGAGTACCCTTGACATTTGGCAACCTTCGGAAAGAAAATGTTCCCTGGCAGATAGGTCACCCAATGCAGAGCAGTTGTCCGTGTATATATATATGTATAGTGTTAGATATATGTATACGTTAATTAGTATCTAATTATATTGTGGGCCTTGACCCAAAGTAGATTAGGGTTTGGGCATCGTTTTGCAAGTTTAGGCACGCGATTGAGAAATATAAGATGATAAAGTGCAGATTAAATTATTTTGTGTTTTATCATCGCACCAATTATGACATTACTCTTCTCATAATATATATGGATGTTATCACCAGAAACGATATAAGTAATATCTCATCTTTAAAAGAGTTTATCCACTCACAATTTCAAATTAAAGATTTTGGTGAGCTACAATATTTTCTAGGAATCGAACTATTCCGGAAGAAGAATTGTATATTCCTCTTTCAGTGAAATATATTCTTGATTTGTTGACTGAAACGGGAAATATTGGAGCTAAACCATCAAGTGCACCTATGGCACCGAATCAAATATTTACAAATGAGCAGTCATTGAGGAGCCTGAAAGATATCAATGATAAGTAGGTAAACTGAATTATCTAACCATGACCCGGATAGATATAGTTTATCCCATTAGTATGATAAGTCATTTTATGAGAGCTCATGCAGTCCAACATTAGAAGGCTTTGGAACGAATTTTGAGGTATTTGAAGAGTACTCCAAGGCGGGAGTTGTTGTACAAGGACCATGAGCACAACCACATTGAATGTTTTTATGATGTTGATTGACCAGGTTCTAAAGTTATCCTAGGTCAACCTCTGGGTAATGTGTATTTATGAGTGGTAACTTAGTTTCATGGAGAAGTAAAAAACAAAATGTGGTATCAAGATCAAGTGCAGAATTAAAGTATCGAACGATGGTGCAGTCCATATATGAGATTATGTAGATTCGTCAGTTTATGATAAGAGTTGGGTTTCCAAATTTAAGCCGCAACACAATTATGGTGTGACAAATCAGGCGGCTCTACACATAACTTCGAATCCTATATTCCATGAACGGACCCAACATATTTGACTGTCATTTTATTTGAGAGAATATTCAAGAAGGATGTGGTCACACAAGTCATATGAAAATAGGAAATCAAACTTTACCTAGCCCTCGTCTCAAATATCTCTGTGACAAGTTGGGCATGATCAATATTTATGCTCCAATTTGAGGGGGAGTGTTATATATATATATATATATATAATGTTAAAGATATGTATATTTGTATCTAATTATATTGTGGGCCTTGACCCAGAGTAGATTATGGTTGTATATATATATATATATGTAATATTAATATAATTTTACATCATATATTTACAACATTTGGATATATTCATAACCCGTTATATTCCGTATTTTTTTATATAATTCTAGATATGTCTTCACCATGCCGCCACTTTGGCCACTTTGATCTCTACGACAAAATCTTATTTCTGACTCTAATGGCGTTAGCAACCTTGCTTCTGACTCTAATGACGTTGAAAGTCTGCTTCCAATTCTAACAACATTGAGAGCTTTTTTTACGACTCCAACAGCGTTGATAGTGTTGTTTCCGACTTTTAGCAATGTTGAAAGCCTTGTTTTCGACTCTAACAACGTTAAGAGTCTTGTTTTCGACTTTAACGGCGTTGAAGGTCCTGCATCCAACTCTAAGAATATTGGGAACTCTATTTTCGACTCTTAAGGTGTTGAGAGTCCTATTTTCAACTATAACAACATTGAAAGTCCTACTTCCGACTTTGATAGGATGGATGGTCTCGGTTACATTACTTTCAGTCTCTATAGACAAACTCAAGTTGGTTTGATTCTCTTTTGGATTTGAAGAAGGGTGTCAAGATTTATTTAGAAAATATATATTAGATCATTTGTATATATTATATATACTATATATACTGAGTTTATGATTGAAATAGAAAATTTTAGTTTCATATTCCAACATAGTATTAGAGCCATACTAGATATTAGGGTTTTGGGGTAGGCTGTTTTTTAGGCTAATCTGTCGCCGGAGTCGCTACTGCGAAGTAACCTCCCGTCCTTTACTTCACTAATCAACCTTGCGAGATTGCACATGTTTGGGTCAAGATCTAACCTTTTCGTCCGTGAGTGTCCGCCGCTGTCGCCACCAGTCAGTTCCTGGTAGATACGTATTCTTCTGGGGCAGTGTGTGTTTCTCCTTCTGGGCATGTGTTGTTTGGGCTAGTCTCTTCGGTACAATTTTGGCCCATTTTGGTGAGTTTTTGGTGTGTGTATAATGGGAGATAGGGAATCACAATTTGGAGGACCAAAAAAATGGTGATGGATGGAGTGCCATTATCACTGTATCCTAGTAGAGTTCGATTGATTCATCTCAGGCAATTAATGCAGCAACTGAATGTACACCACCGATAAGTGTCTCATTTCCTCTACTTCTAAATGGTTCATTGATACCGGAGCACTTAACCATATAACAAGTAACCCGAGCCTTTTATCCTCTATATGGTTCTAGTCATTCATTTGTCATTGATACCGGAGCATTGTGAACCTTGGAGAAGTCCTCCCAAAGAGTACATTCCCAATGTAACAGCTGCCAGCGAAGCTTAATATCTAACTACCATTGATCATCCACCCAATGGCCAAAGTATCTTGATTTAAAAAAAAAAAAAAATGAAAATAAAAGCCAAAATAAATAATGATCTAAAGACAATTTTGAAAGGCATACATACTTACCATATCTTCCCAAAATCTGATACTATTGCCATTTCCAACCGAAAGACCAACATTTTTATATTATGAGCACTGATCTAAACCTTACATGTATTAGCCCAATGACTCGTGGGTGGGCTCCTAAATTTTGAAACAGCCAAATAGACCTAGAATGAAGTTATATTACAAACGGCTTTCTTCCAAAGCATTGAGTTTTCTGAATTTTCCATGCCCACTTTGAACGTAAGGCTTCATTCATGCTTTGAAGCAAAGCAAGGACTAAGACATCAAATCTTTTATTTTAAACAACTTATCCCAAGTAGGTAGGTTCATTTTTCACCAAGTCCCCATGTCAACCTAAACCAAATTTCCAAAATTTCATTTCCAAGAGATGTACATTTTTTGGTATATGGAAAATGGTCATTAAGTAAATTGAAAGGCTCACCAAAACCAATTGGGCGAAAGTCACAATTTTTTAAGAACAAGGTTTGGCTTTCTATATGCTAAAACCATCAACAACTTTGGAAGTTGGCCCATTGAACAATGAATAGATAAGGCCGAGGCTGCAGTAGTAACATATGAGCGCTTGACACAACTCAAAGAGTTCTTAAAAAATTGAGTATACTACCTAGTTGCACCAAGCTAAAGGTTTGCACCTTATTTGTTTTATGACAAGATCAAAATACTTACGAGTGTACAAGATGAAGTTGAATGGGCACCATGCCTCGGACAAATTATAAGGAGGGTGAGGAGAAAAAACCAATTTGGGAGCAAGAACTCAAATCTAGTTGGAGAGGGCGCAAAGGCAACCTGGAAAGAACTCAAGGGAGAATACCCAGCTACCCTACACTGAGCTTGAGATCTATGAGGTACATAGTATGTAGACTTCATGACTTGGCTGGCCCTAGAATTATTTTGCTCTGGAATTCAGATATCAGCTAAGGGAGGATCGGAGATAGGCTCAATTTCCAATTATGAAGGGAAGGGAAAACTCCTTTTAATTGGGAAGTGTGGGAAGCAGCTCTCTGACTCTTCATTTCCGACCCAAATGATCTGCACAAATGCGGTTGGAAATCAGATCATCGAAGAGAAACTTGCTAGCACTTTTGAACAGGAAGATGAGACACCAAAGGTAGAACAACTATATGGTAAACTTGGGAGGCCTGATTCCTTCAAGGCAAATCTCGAGCATGACCTCTAGGATCTATACCTCGGAGAGGAAATGGTTAAGGTGGAGGTGCCATCCAAAGAGGGGGAGTCTTGGTGGATGACTTAGCATTAGGGTCCAGGAGTGAGAGGTCTAGGACCAATGATTAGTCCCACATCCTTGCTCAAGTCCTGTTTTACTAGCATCTACAGATAGTACACGCTGGAAATGCAAATAGGATATGTGCATCTTGATTTTGGCATAAGCTAAGTGTGTAAACAAAGACATGGGATGACAGGTTGAGATGCAGAAGCCCCCTAGGTTTCCCAATAATTCAAAAAATTTTGGATGCATATTCTTATCCAAACACATTAGAGAAGCAAAAGATGAAGAAGACCATGGAAGAATCCAATTGAACATGAATTCCCAGTCATGACTGACTTTAGAACCTCTAACATAAGGAAGATTATTCAAACTCGAATAAAAATGTGATCTCTCCCGGAAATTTAGTATGAATTCTGGAGGCGAGACTTTTGCACATGAAGTTGGTCAATGCATCCAAGCTAATAGGAGAGAGAGTTTCTCCCATAGTGCACCTTTAAAGCCGCTAGAGGAGTCACTCTTGATTGGAATCAAAGAAGATGGCCAAACGCAACTTCATGATTCGAGAAAAGACATTTGTTGGAGAAATTTTTTTCTGACAAAGTGGAAGAAGGAATATCATGAGGAGTTGTGACGCCAAATTTGATGGCTTCCGCATGGGTTATGAGTTTTTTCTATCTCCACTCGGAAAGAAGCTAGATGAGAGTTCGACCTCATGATAGGTTGCGGGTTTGGCCTCCTTTTAATGGGCAAAGCTCGGGGAGAGGATTGAGCAATATCAACATGAAGGGGAGACCTAAACTACACCAAACAAGAAAAAGTACGAATGATTTTCGGTGCATCACGACCATCTCTTAAGCAGAAGAAGACGAATTTATACTCCATAAAGAGATGTCCACTTTTGGGAAATAGCTATCATATATTCTAGCAGGGTTGTTAATGAGATTCCAGATGTCCTTTTCATTGCTGGACGGAGAGGGTTTGCAAGGATTTATACAAACTTGTTGCAACTTCTTAAATAGATGGGAAGTATCAAAGTGATCCAAGGTGTTTGCTAAATCATGTAGAATGGAAGACATAACACATCCTTAAAAAAGAACTTACAGTTTATTTCAACTAGTTTGGCAAGGCAAGCAAAAAGGGTACAACTTTTCTCTATCTGGTTGTACTCATGGTATTATGTATCTATATACGCCAAAATCCGAAACACCTCGCTGTTAGATTAGATAAGCTATGATGGTTATATAACTAAAGTAGAAATTTAGAATAGATGAGTAGCCTTTATCCACTCTATAAGGTTGACCGTTATCCTACAAGTAGATCAGACCAAGTTGTATGAATGTTATCCTCCACTCAATAGTGATGAGCAGAAAACATTTTTATCTCCGTAATTAAACTATATGCTACTACCTCCAGGTACTGATAAGAATAGCAATACTTTGATCATAATATGTTCGCTCAACACCAAATCTGCATATTTGATATCAAGTACACAACAATATAATATTACATATAGTAAAAACAGCATGCATCAAGAATTTAAATCTTGACTTCTTTTCAAACATGTTCACCTGAATCACGCCAACAAGTCGGTTGTCTATCCCTCTACTGTAGTTCCACAGCATCTCTCCAGTTTTTTTCCCAAAATCCTTTTGAAGAGACTCCTAGTATCATCAGGCAATGGGGAGTCAAAAATAGTGGAATCATTTATTTACTTTGTAGAATGTAATAACTATTTTCTTCACCATGGGCCATTATAATGTCAATAAACAAAATATGAATGCACTAAACAACGTAATGACGCAATAAGAGACTAATAGATCATGTTAAATAGAGAAGTCATCCACGTATTTCAATAAGTTCTGGTTTAACAGCTACACAACGATTGCATCAAAATACACACAAAAGCTACATGTCAACGATTGCCTCAAAATACGCACAAAAGCTACATGTATAATACTATTTCATTGATAGTCCACTTGACCAATTTTCCTATCTAAAAGCTGGTATAGTTATCATTTCACACATGATTATACAGAGTAGAAAGTCCATAAGTTGTGTTGATACCAAGGGAATATAAACCTAGGCAGGGTTACTCTAGGGTTTGTTTGGATGGGGGTTTGGGAGTGGATTTTGTGTTAAGTAAATATTTGAATTGAAATAAATTTATGATGTGATGTTTTGAATTATTGATTAATTTTTTATATATTTTTAATGAAAATATACATTAAATTTGATAGTTTTGAAAAGAAAAAACAAAAAACAAAGGATACTCAAGAAACTCTCTCTCTACAATGACCTTCCTATCGGCCTTAACAATTCCTTGACTCCCTCAAGAACCTTGCTAGTACAACCTCGCAACACTAGCACAAAAGCACATAAAGAGCATAGGAAAGCAAACACATTGAGATGGTACTCCTCTATTTATAGACATCATGATAGGCCAGGTCTAACACAGAAAGTCTATCTACTACCGGATAAGCTCTATGTATTACAGGATAAACATCAATACTATAAGCATAAACTAAGTCTAATGGATAAGCATTGACTTGGTCAAAGGCTATTCTAGGTCTTTCCGGAGAGTTCCGGAATGTTCCAGAGATTCCCAATAGCCTCTGCATCTCAGTTCGCCCCCCGGCCCCTCTCGGCCAAGATTTTGGTCTAGGACACTAGTCATCCGCTGCTTCCCTTGAGGTCCTCCCACCTTAGTGACTTAGTCCCCTTAGCCAAGACATCTTACGAAGAGCCTTAGAGGTTTCTTCAATGGAATAGAGAAGTTGGTGAAGTGTACATCAGTATATTCACCCTTCAAGCTCCGTTACAGATCTCTAGAGGAAGGTCGACAATCCTGTCCAAATGTCCAGGTTTATGATTGTTACTTACCAAAGAATGATTTCACTCTTTGAAGCCTTCTTCCTATTCAAAATACTCAAGATGCTATGAAACTCATTTGTACTTGGTCAAACAGTCTTGAAAGGTATTTTCAATTGTTTAAGGTGGAGTAACTTTCGGTGTTACAAATTCATCATCTTAGTCTTTAGTTAGTCTCTTGTGCGTGTGAATTCGATTCTTGCTTCTGCCCTCGATCTGCATTAATCCTATTTCAGGTGCAAAGCCTTTCCAATTTTCACCTCTGACCCGAGAAAAGATATAAGGGGGGTTGTGTTAAAAAAATCATCGATACTTCACTAAAGGCAAAAGAAAAGGCAAGGAAAGTGAATAAGCACATAGCAAATTTCTTCTATGGGAACAGCATTCCATTTAGTGCTTCTAAATAAAGAAGTTACAAGGTTATGATAGGAGTATAGGACAATATAAGGTTTCTTTAAAACTTGCTAGTTATCATTAGTTGAAGGGGCCGCTTCTTAAAGATAACGTAAATAACACAAATAAGTTGAAAGAAAAGCACATGGAAGCTTGGAAACAAAATAGGTGCACACTTATGTCAAATGGGTGATCTGATTTTCTTATCAATAGTCTAGAAGAGACTCTTTTTTTGTTAGTTTGTCGGCTAAGTCACATTGCAAGAAAGTTGGCTGACTTGCTTTGAAAAAAAAAAAAGAAAAAGGTTGGCGGATGGAAAAGAGCGTACCATGCAAGTTGTGACTGATAATGAGTTAAATTATAAAGCAGACATAAGGAGCATATTTTGGGCATCTTCTTCAGGCCATTGCATAGATATCTACATTGGGGGGACATTGGAAAATTGAACAAATTTAAACCTTACATTCAAAAGTCTAAGGATGTTACCACTTTTTATTTATCGACAGGAAACTCCTAAGTACAATGAGGGGAAAAGCAGGGTGGCAGGGATCTTGTGAGCATTTTGCTTCTGCATGTCTCACCTTGCAGAGCTTGAACAAACACAAAAATAGACAGAGGTAGTTATTACTTTAGCATGGATTGAAGCGGTGATAAATTATCTAAAATGTGTAAGGGCAGAAAAACGATGGAAACAATTCTTTCATCAAAGTTTTGGGATCAAATGGAAGATTGTTTACGGTAACACTTTATCATGGAAATAACTTAAATCTTTAACTAGCAACAAGAATAGATTGTTGGCGAAGTTGATGGAAATAATTGGGAATCAAAGGATGGATCAAATAGAGGTAAATCTATATAGAGTTGGAGTATTTTAAATCCCTCAAAATATCTCGATCTGAGGAGAATTGTTCTTGCAAGTGCTCATAAGCAACTACAATTGTTTAATGATGTTCTTGAAGAATTGATGGACAAGAGTAAAGGACATGAACTGATTATGATAAATACGATGAAGCTTTGACCGGAAATTGGTAATCAAACACCAAACACAAAAGAATCTAAGGTTCTTAAACTTGTATCGTTTTTCATTAATTTAAATACTAAAACTCTTTCTTAATGTACTTAGTTGATTGAATCAGCCGTTTAACATCCGGTGCTCATGAGTGCATGCCATATCCATCTTATCTTTCCATATGTCTTAGCGGGCACAAGTCATCAATGACCCCAATCAAAGCGTCTCTATAACTTGAACACGACAGATGTAGCCCTTCCCTTCCAAACTAGAGAAGAATCTTAGGCATAACGAGCATCCAGAGAGAAATGAAATAGCTCAACTACGAATCTACTAGCACAGCCTGTTCCGTTAAGACACTTGATGGAAGAATGTGAACAATATGCACAATTCCCAGCTACCGTCGGCTCATAAGTAGACCTTATCACTAAAGATTATCACAACATAGAGAAAAATTCGAGATCGCAAATGAATTCTAGATTTACCCGAGCTTTTCTCACACTAGAATAACACTTTGGGTATAGTGCATCCACTATTGGTGCATTCGCCATTACCCAGAACGGCCAGTGTCCTCAACTCAAATAAGTATTCATATGCATTATGCTATGTCAGCTCCTCCATTACATATGATACTCCCATTGGGTCATTGATCTCTTTGCAAGTTTGTCCTTAGTCCTTACATACCGCAAACTTCTCGCTGTCCTTAGTCGCCATTGAGTTGCTCTATGCATGCATCTAGCTCGTCAAACTTGTCATTGCGGTTGGCAATGGTTTGCTTCATCTTTAGCCAATCTTGGCTCAAAAGCAGTCATCAAATCCACCTACTTCTTCCTCATGATCTTTTAGGTTCTCTTGATGTTGTCTCCCTTGGCTGCAGTAGGAATTTGTTACCATCTGACATCCTCTCAATTTCAACTCTGATATCCACAAACCAAATCGTTTCTCCTTTCACAATTCGTACGGATTACCAATTTCCAACTCAAACTTGAATGCCACTAATATTTAATACAACCTTACTTAGGTCTTGCAGACCAACTAAGCACACAAGAACACACGGAAGGCTTTCTATTACTAAAAAACTCATACTTGAATGAATATACACTCTGACTCGGAGATACTTGATTGGACAGCCAGTTAAGGCAGCAGAGAAGCCAGTGGCACTGTGGGTTTATACCCAATGAATCAAAAGAGGCACATGTCATATGGGCATAGTGGTATCTTTGGAGTCTAGACTAATTTATTATGTCTCCATTTAGGTTCCTCTATATCTACTTGGTGATTGACTCCCGATATTAATGATACGTATCCCTAAAAGCTTAAGCTTTTAGGTGAGGCGGTCATTTACATTATCTAGCATAATGTCAGAGCAATAGGTCTCGAGTTCAAGTCCCGCCGTCCTCATCCGGCATGTATCTATGTACAAGTCTCGCATACATGCCCATGCACGTGAGGGGACATGTTGGTTGACTCCCGTGTGTAAATTTTAGTGATATGTATCCCTAACAGTTTAAACTTCTAGATGAAGCGGTCATTCTGATTATCTAACACTATTGTTTTCAAGTCAAACCTTAGAAGTCTACTAAATAAGTCTAGGATTATTTAGTCTTATCTCATCAAACAAGTAAACTCTAATTTGAAAGGTACAGCTTAGGACAAGGAAAAGCATAGTTGTTACCAATTTCGCTATTTTTCAAGGAATAAATTCTTTAGTTCCATCATAAGCAACATAAAAATAAAACAAAAAATGTGAGACAATCTGGTGGAAAGAAAGATAACCTTGGTGATCAACTGCAACTGACCACAGGTTTTAATTTTTTTCTCCTTCAATTTTGCTTCCAAAACATGTCCTATACCAGGAAGCATCTTCACTGGAAGTGTGCACAAATAACTCTCAACCTGCAGTAATTGGCAATATTTAGGAATCAATTTTTTGACAAAATTGAAGTGCACAAAACATTAGTTCTGTAATTTGTCTGTCAACTCAGAGCCCTTTTGAGTGGGATAGAGATCAAAAATAATTAATAACCAGTAAAACTAGTGCATTTTGACAAAGATCCTAAAAGCAAACCTTTTCAGGATGTATCTGAAATTGGCCATCTGGTTTTGCAGTTTTTGTGGCGAGGCAGGCCAAAAGCATATTCCCTGCAATTCCTGCACTTGCAGTGCATCCTGTAGCTTCAAAAATCTCCTTTCTGATTGTTGAGGCTAAAAGTTGAGGGTCACCCTCTTCTGATTCAGAGATATCTAAAAATGCTTCATCACAGCTGACAGCCTACAAGGAGAAATTATTATTGCAATAGCTAAAAGCAAACCATATGAAAACCTGGAAAATATAACAAAACTATCCAAAATTGACTTCCTAGCCAGACCTGAACTTTGCTGCAGTGCTTGTGCAAAATGTCATAAAATTGATCTGCAACCTGCAAATGGGAACATCATTTATACCAAAAAACTCCAAGAGCCATGACACAACATAAGAATTAAAGATACAGATCCATATGCATGCCACTGAAATAGTCAAATGAGCATAGACAAAACATGCACAAACATGTCTGTGTGTGTGTACCTTCTCATAAGCTTCAAAATCATATGGAACAATTACAAGCTGAGGGCAGCGAAGCTTGGCTTCTTTCACAAACATTCCAGCCTTTACTCCTAGAAGCAAGCAAGATATCAATTCCAATGCTTATGAAATAGAAAATGTTAAAACTATATTGAATATAAGCCATACCATGATCTCGAGCAGGATAATTTGCAGATGAAATTTCAGAAGTACCACGAGGATTATCTGAATGACAAACAGCAACAGGTTTGCCCAGTAACTCAGGATGTTTCCTGATGATCACAGAAACAAAAAAGCAGTCCTGCAAGCATTTACAATCCAATCATCGGTAATAACAAGAATTCTATATCTGATTCCTAGGCATCCAAATACAGCTTATTAAGAAGTCTTTGATCTACCAAACTGGAAAGTAATGAAATCATCGAAAACTATAAATATGAGAAAAGTCAGAACAGGGAGCTTGCAAGCGAATCTCATTGCAGCAGAATTACCATGTCTATATGTATAATGGCAGTCTTATTCACTCTATCAGTATTGAGATGAGAATTTCTGCAATTAAATCCTCTTGACAAGCTTGGAAAGCGCTTACGATATCTCGTTCTCCATGTTCCAATAAAATGCAGCCTGGAATTCTGAAAAAATGAAAAAACAATATAGATACACCGGATGCAGATCAAATCAACATTGAATAGGCATGAGTTGTTCGGCTGAATTATTAAGTATATAGACAAAAGTGATTACAACCCAACTTACAATGGACCACACATGCAATATAACAAAGGGAACACTCTATAGTAGAACTCAAAGTATTTGTATGAACTCCAATCTTCAAAACCTGCCACTAGCCGCATACAACCCGTGTTTCATGTGTCGCAGCTATGGCGAGTGGTGGGCAATCACTCTGTGGAGGCAAAGTTACCAAAGAGCTTAGCATTGCCAGTGGGGACAATGGTTGAGCCCGAGAAGGTACTAGCTTGGCGGCAAGGGTGTGAGAGAGGGGCAAATGAAGAGTCATTGTTGGCTAAATAGGTTGGGCAATCAGCTGATGTTACTTGGATGAGTAAAGCCAATTTTCAAAGTCAGTTTCCAGACTTCAACCTTGAGGGCAAGGTTGTTTTGAAGGAAAATGAAGTTTATAGGACGGAATTAGGCTTGCTTTCACATGCTCGGGATTTTATTTCTCATTCATTTATTATTTCTTGGACTTTTATTTATGGGCTTTTATAATTTCTTTAGATTGCGATTGATTGAGAGAATGAACCAAAATTAGTCTTAGGGTGTGTTTGGTATAGGGAATTGCCAATAGAGAAATTTCCATTTCTGATAAATGAAATTTAAAAAATAAATTATTTCTATTTCTTTGTTCAAGAAAATTGAGAGAAATGATATTACAGTATATTCTTTTATTTTTTTTAATCTTTTTTGTACTATTTAATTTTATATTTTTAAAATTTATATTATTTCAATTTTATAAAAATCACATTTAATTCATTATTCAAGTAATTAATTTTTACGATTTTTTAAAAAATTGTAGTAAAATATGATCTTACAAAATATCGTATATAATTTATGATTCTTTTAAAAAAAAGTCACCAGAAATATATTTTTTATGAATTATTGCTCCTTAAAACTCTTTTTTGTTCGATTAATCACTTATTCTTATTCGATCCATTCAGATGGTTGCACTCTTTTTATATTTCTCAACGGAATTCTCTATTTTACCAAACAAGATAATTAATTCTCACTCTCTACTCAATTCTTTTTCTCTCCAATTCTATTCTCTACTCTCGTTTTTCTACAATTTCATTCTCTACACCAAATGTCCCCTTGGAGAATGAGAAGTGATTCAACTTAGAGAAATGTAACAAAAAATTAATCATCATTGATTCGTGCATATATATACACACAAAATACACAAATTAATAATTTTATTATAATAATAATAACAACAACAATAATAATAATAACAAGTCTATCATAAAATTCTATTATCTATATTGAGAACCCTCCAATCGCGGCAAATGGTGTGATGACGAGGACAGAGACGAAGACAAAGGAGAAGTTTTGAGGAAAAATAATAAAAATAATTTTTTATATAGGGTGTGTTTGTTTAGTAAAATTGTTTGGAGAGAGATTTTTTTATGTGAGGTATAGTAACTTGTGTAAGTAATATAAAAATAATAAGTGTATAATATATTAATTTTTTGGGAGAAATGTATTTTTTGGAGTTGGTGAAAGAACACACCCATAGAATAAAAAAATTAAGAAATTTTTTTTCTCCCACAAATTTAATTTGAGAAAGAATTAAAAGTAAACAATAAGAAATCAATTATTTCTCAAATTTTAATTCTCCATAACAAACAATCTAAGGAAATGAATTCATTTCCAATTATGTGCTACCATTTCCCTGTACCAAACACCCCATTTCCATGTTTAAAGATGTTAATTAGGGTTTTGAGGTGACATTGAGACATTATTGAATAGAAAGTATTGGAAGGTTATTTGGGCAAATGGAACTCTCCATTTGATTACTCTTGTCTGATCATAATTCTCATTGGCACACTAGGTATATAGGTACAAGGCTATGCAATTAATTACAATAAGAGGCAATTGAAGAGATAATTATGAATAATTTAGGAACTAATCTAGGAGATAACTACAAGTAAATTCTCATGTAAAAATAAATTTGAAAAAAGCAGCAGCTGCTAACTCAAAAGTTCTGCATCAAGCGAAGGTTCTCTGATTATAAACTTTCATGAGTGCTAAAAGTAAAAATACTTTTTCAGCATAAATGCTAAGTCAGAATTGATATTTTCTTTGCAATTAACCACATCAGGTAAACATGAAATCTATTCTGAGCGTCACTGCATGCATTTTTAATTAAAAGATAATCGCATAAACATACAAGTTTGTAGATGGTCAAGCCAAAAAGAAATGAAGAAAATGTAATATATCGCTTATAGTCTTATGTTCCATGAAAAATAGGCCTGATTTTAATACTTATTACCATATATCTGTCATATTTCCCAACACTACTTACAAAGATAAATGTTCCACGCAAATAAAATAATTGGATAATGAATGCAACAAATGAGCGTGAACTATGAATGACACAAATGAGTGTAAACTGTGAAAGGATCAAAAAGATAAAATGCCATGATGTAAATATATTATCAACGAGGAGGTGCTTATATATACTTCAGCATTTCAAAATTCAGATCATATATGAATCGTGAAAAGAAAAAACCGATCAGATTCTTGAATAGTTTTGAAACAAGACAGATAAATTACAGCCAAGAAGCCAAAAACACTTACCCTGAAATAATTTTCCACGAAATTGGGATCTGTCAGGGTTGAATGGCAACGTTTGGAAGGCAAACTGATCCTTGAAGTGGAAGCATGACATGAACCAGACTCATCAGTAGCCTGCCCATCTAAAGGAGGACAATCACTCAATTTCCCACTGTTCCCCTCACAGGAACTTTCTATACTACTAGCTGGCTCATCAGCCATAACTTTATTGATGCTGATTTGCAAAAGGTCACCAGGTTCTGCAGTGCAATTGCCTGTTTGCTCTACAGCTGCACAATCTTTAGATTGACCAGAGTTCAACTTAGGAAATGATGGACCATCGACACACTGATACACTATTTCAGATCCCCCACTGTTTTTTGGAGTGAAAAAAGCAGCCAATTTTGGTTGGTTATCACTTCCAACAGCAAGTTGATCAAGTTGGTAAGGAACCCCTGGAGAAGTAAAATATCATAATGCCACACCATATTTTAGTCAAGCTCATAAGCATTAACCTGGCATCTTGGGACAACCAGTGACACAAAAAAAATGTCTCTGGGGTTATGGAAAGACTAGGTGTTCAAATAATTATTTGCATGGTTTTTGTATGGAACCTCATTTTAAAAAATAAAATAAAATAATATTAATAGGCTTATGATGATCTCTAAAGATATATTTTTCAAATATAAACTACAATCTGGCGCATATAAATAAACAATGGAAAGATGAATGGACAATAAGTTCAGAAAATAAAATTTGCAATTCACAGAACATATGCAGTGTAACAAATATTAATGCTTCTATGGAAACAAAAGAACCAGCTAAAGTTATCCTCACATCTCGGAAGCAATAATAATGTATTGATACAAAACTTCTGTTAACACTATGCTATTTACATTATTGGATTACAAAATGTGAAATATCTCATATATGGAAAACACACCAAAAATGCCTCTAAAACTATACACTTACAACTAAGAAGTTTATTAGCAGCAACGGAATCCAGCACCCAAGCAGGTTTAACAACTGGAAGGCCACCACTGAATCCCCTACAAGAACAAAAAACAATATTTTCTGTAGGCAGAACAAAAGATCACTACTTCTGTAATTTAGGCAAACTCTTCACGAACTTTGAAAATGAACCTCAAATTCTTGATTTTACTGTCAGGGAGATTACTGCATATTATGTGTGTAACAAGATGCCTAGAAAAATAATTTTCAAATCGTCCTCCATACTTCAGCATGTAACTTCGAAGCTCCTGGAAAAGAATGACATGCCAAACATCACGTCAATATGCCCCATTACAGAAACAGAGCAATGTTTCTTTCTCAAAAGAAGGCTATGAATTCGATAAAGATTGTTTTATTCACCGAATTTCAGATATCATACAATCATTAATTCTAGGCACCATAATAGACAAACGTAAACTCGTGATTCAATGCCATCTGGGTTGAACCATAACTATCAATTTGATGTAAAAGGGGCCATTAAGCATAAAGATGAAATCTATACCTGATTTGAAGGGACAGTATATCCATCAACAAAAATTGAAACCCCAGTAAATATAGGATTGGCACAACTGGGCCCACTGTTAGATGAACTTGAAGCAGCAGCATTGAACTGTTGGTGCAGTTTCTGATTCTTCACTGCCATGTAACTAACAAACCATAAATTATAAAAAAGAAAGCAATAACTACATAATTTAACATAAACAAAAACAAAAATAAAACCGGATAAAACAAATAGGCAACATCATTATCCAAAAACTTGAATGGAGCTTTCATAATCCAAGATGATATTTCAAAAATGATTGACTTTGCGCACTTAAACATGCTATCAAATTAAAGAGTGGGTATGAAGAAACAAAATTGACAGATGCAGTAAGAATGTGTGTGTGTGTGTGTACATTATTATTGAACTTGCGGACAAGTAGAGATGAATAAAACTACATACCTGCCAAAATCAGAGAAAGGCGAATTGCAGAAAAGGGAGTCAGATGACGAGCGAGAATTTGCGCCCCAAGCCATCCCTAGGGTTTTCTGGGTAGTCTTCCTCTTCTTACTTGACTTGTTGCCATCAGTGCTGTGGTTGCTGGAACAAGGGTTTGGTAAAATCGAATTGAAACTTCTTCTCGATTTCGAATCCGAATTAGAACCCATCCCTGTGGCTGTGGAGAGGAGGGTACAGGTACTCAAGAAAAAATATTATCGAGAAAGCCAAATGACACCAGAATTCTCGGTGTAACAGCGTCTTCTCGACGGGCTCGTTCTATAGCGAGAGCCTTTTTACTCCATTTAATGGCGGAAGAAACTTGCAGTCGAAGACTTTGAACAAGGCGGGCGGTACAGAAACTGAAAATTGGAAATTATGTACAGGTTCAACTAAGAAGCGAACTTCTTCTTGGGCTTGTTTGGAGCAGCGTCTAAAAAGAATTGAACCTGATTAAAACAAAATAGGAGCAGCTTTGAAGCTTCAAAATTGATTTTTTTTTAAAAAAAAAAAAAAAAGGAGAATGTTATGTAGTATAACAAAAATAAAATATATTAATAATATATATAAGTTGATAATATATATAATATAATATAAATACAGGTGTGTCAGTGTAATGAAATAGATATATAGGGTGTGTTTTTCTTATTTGGTTTGGAAATTTTTTTTTTGGTTTGAATTTAGTATTAAAATAATGTATTATAACATGTTTTGTAATAGAAAAAATATATATTTTATTCGGAAAAGTTATAAAGTTCAAATAGTAAAATTTGAGAGATTTAAGATTAAAGAAACAAACACATAGATATTACTATAATATATGAGTGAGATAAATATATGGAATATATATATATATAAACATGTGTATTGGCGAAACTAGGAATTTAACTAAGGACACATTTCTTATGGGGAATAAATATTAGCAATAATAATGCAAAAAAAACAAAAAAAAAAATATTAAATATTAAATATTGTTCAAATAAAATACAAACATCCGGCCATTGAAACGGGCTTTGTTTGCAGGATATCAGGTTCGGTCGGAGTTTTCCCAGGGCTTAGTTTGCAGGGTATCAGGTTCGGTCGGGGTTTTCTCAGGACTTGGTTTGCAAGGTATCAGGTTCGGCCGGGGTTTAACCAGTGCGCACTTTCGAGTAGCGGTTGCGGGTTCCCACGTCATCCAAAAAAAAAAAACAAAAAAAATATTAAATATTGTTCAAATAAAATACAAACATCCGGCCATTGAATTCTTGTCATATTTTGAAAGCGTTGCAAAATAGCTTCATTTTTATTTTATTTTTAAAAAAAAATTCTTTTTAATATAGCACGGTAAACTATCTGCAAAAAAACTAATCATCCATCTCGTTATGCAAATTATTTTTAATAATTTTCATCGCAGAGAAAGATCTATCAACGATAGTTGTTGCAACAGGCGAAATCAATGCTAATTCATCAAATCAATACACCAACTTCAGAGCAGTGTGTTATTTTCTTTCAACCATCCTTTTTACAAGATCATCAATACTATGAACAAAAGAAAAACACTTTTATTATTATTATTATTATTATTATTATTATTGCAATGTATTGTTTGAGTTATTTGGCAACAAAATTTTATTATAAAAATCATTTTGATATAATTCAACATGACAGAGTAACTTATCAACATCAAAGCTAGCCAATGAATCTCGAAGATCAAGGCATATAATGCTAGCAAAAATATATAAACTAGATTTCACAATACGATTATCAATTTCTTGTGCAACGAGAAGAACAACTTTCTATGATAAAAAAAATTAACTAGTTATTAACAAAATAAATAAATGATCAAATACATGTAGCTATAAATATGTAAAGTGCCTTAAAGAAATATCACGTCGAAAAAAAAAAAGTAAAAATAAATCTTTGGTTGACTATCGACTTTTCTTTCAAATCTCGCCCGACCAAGTATATATTGGATTTTCACCAATATTTTCAAATCAAATAAGCCTTTTTCAAAGAATTTTTTTTAATAATTTCTAACAAATCATTCTAACAATCTTTCTTATACAACCTGAAGTCATATTTGAACGTTGTAATCAAGTATCTAATATTATCAATATATTCTGACTTTATTTTTGAAGGGCCGCCAACAATATACTTATTTTTGCTAACAATTTCAATATGAAATGAGTAATGAAACCAAAATCAAAACGCATCATTTTACCAATTAAACATGTTGTAGTGCCTCGATTTTTTTTTATCCAGACCATCCTTTGAAATAGTATCAAGAATATTTTTATCGCATCCCATATATTTAAATTTCAATCCAATGACTTAGGATGAGAACCCCGCCAAGTATCACATGGACAAGCCAAAGTTGCTTTTTGAGTTTTGTCTTCTCCTTTAGCAATTTCACCACACTCAATCGTCATACAAGATCTTCATTGTGTTTTTATTGCAAAGCACTCCTTCTTTTACATGAAGCCCCAATAAGATTCACAATATGGATCAAATGATCAAAAAAGTCGTTCACTAGTATATGATCACTAGAAGTTGCTATAACCAGTAATGGAAGCTGGTGGGCAAAAGAATGAACATAATATACTTATTTATTTTCATTTAAAATGAGTACTTAAGATCATGAAACTCATCTCGCATGTTCAAAGCCACGTCATAACCTTGTCTTCTAATGTTGGAAAGTGATAAGTCATTCTTTGAGAAATAATCATTAATATCGTTTTTCAATAAGTTTAAAATAGTGTCACTAGTATGTACTAATCCAACAAATTGCTCATTTACTTCTCTTATATTATTGACATGTCTCAAAAACCACTAACATTTATTCATTCGCAAAACTGTCTCGAGCCCCTTCAATCAAAATTGAGAAAACTTTATCTCTTATTTCATCAATAATAACCCTTTTCACTTCCATAGCACAAGCATTAATAATATCTTTCTGAATCTTAGGATAAGTCAACTAATTATTTCCTGGAGCACTTAAGTTCATCATTGTCTTAACATCTCTATTATGATCACAATGCCAAGTCAAAATTTCAAAAAAATTACCTCTTTGCAAGGATATTTTTGACTCATTAGTTCCATAAAAAGTAAAACTTTGTCGTAAAATCAATCAAACTACGTTAACAATCGTTGTCAATCGAAGAAGATAATCAAGCTCAATTTTCTTACTTTTTTGGATAGCACATAATCAATGTTATTTCTCTTACTAAATGATGAATGATGAACCTTGAATTTTAGCACCATGTTGTGCACTTCTTGTATCTCTTGCATACTCTTTAAATTTGTCTAAGACCCTATTTCAATTTTGAATCCAACTTTTATAAAAAGTAGTATCTCCATTATGTTTATGACATTTACGAGGGTGTTTGCTAAATAGCGTTGTGGAGAGATTTTAGTTATTGAACAACTTTTAGCTGTTTAACTAGTCAAAGAGCTAATTTAAGTATTTAGTAAATTAATTTTTTGAAATAGCTTATTGACCTCAAAAAACTAATTTTTGAAACAATGTATATCCCAACATTTTATAATAGTTGTTTCTCTTAAAAGAACAAATTATTCCTTATTTGCCCTTAAATATAAGTCATTGTTTTTACAAGTATTAATATAATTATTATTGTAGTATTTATTAATTATTTTAATATATATTTTTTAACTTATAAATTTAATTTAATAAATTTTTAAAAAATTATTAATTTTAAATTTATGCATATATACTATATATGTTTTGTCACATGAAATTTTCTATAAGTAACGAATGTATTAGAATAAATTTCTATAAAATTAGAAATTTAATAAAAAAAATTAATTAATTAAAAATCAACTTAATAAAAATATATATATATAATTCTTTTTTTTATTTTACTCGATTTCTAATGGAAAAAAATTTCATATTTTTTTTAATAAAATACATTAATTTCTTACAAAATATAAAAAATAACAAAAATAGATATTTTAATAAGATTTTTATAATTTTCAATAAGTATTAATAAAAATTCTAAAAAATCCTACATACCGAGAAAAAAAAAACTAAAAGCTAATATCAAACAACTATATTACCAAACACTTTAGCACAAACAATTAACTGAATCCGCTAGTCAAATAAGTTAATCGAATCAGCTAATAGCTAACAACTAATCGAATCAGGTAACAGCTGATTGTCAAATATCCCCTAAATGGAACAACTGTGCTGAGAATAAAGCATCACTAAAGCCAAACTACACAAACAGCTCATGTTAAAACTTTAGTTTATAGACTTCTTAATTGGGGTGAGCTTTTGTTAATATCTTGGCACAAAAGTGCGGCTTTATATATATATTATGTAAGAATATGGATTTATACTTACATATGTTGTAACACCTCAACCTTATAAGTTCTATGATTAAGTTCCAAATGAATGTCGCGCCAATTTGATATGCATATAACTTTGGTTCCTAACTAAACCTAAGTATTGTAAAAATTGTGCGATTGTGTGATTTGAACAGAACAATAATGTCATTAGCCACTAGTAATTGTTTAAACTAAAGCTCAATTTGGGAAAATAAAATCATACAGAGTAAATTGAATAAATTGTTGTAGTAACATACCCCGAAGAACCACAAATATTGGAATAAGTACAACTCGAAATAACACAGGTTGTCTTTACCTGTTGGATTTTTAAGATGTTTACTGTTCGGTTTTGTCTGAAAATTAGGGTAAGAACCCTACACCTAAAATCTACTTATCACACGCTTGGATCGGTAGTAGTGTAGGTCTACAAAATTTAAAAAGTAAAGGCTGCAAGGATTCTTGCTTGTATTGTTCATTAATTCATATGATTAAGTCCCCTACCTAACCTTCTATCTTCTCTATATATTTCCCCATTCAAAATGTGTGTTGCGAGAGGGCCTGAGGATGACGGAGATCGCGTGACCGGAGATAGAGATTTTGCATCATCGACTGGGTTTTCCGATTTTCCAGCGGGTTTTTGGGAAGTTTTCCCCAACACGAGCGACCACCAGCATTCACTTCTACAAACAAGTACTATTATCTTTCCAATCGGATTTTTGTTAAACCCTCATATATGTGTTTGCGATGTAAATTTATGGTGGTGAAGTAGGTTTTCGGGAAGTTTCCCTCAACACGAGCGGCCACCAGCATTCACGGCTACAAACCAAGTACTATTACTTTCCCAATTGGATTTTGTTAAACCCTCATATATGTGTTTGCGATGTAAATTTATGGTGGAATTTGGTATGGACTTTGACAAATACCCTCGGGTGCCTTAGGTATTTCAGGGTTAAAGCTATTATATTTTGGTGTAGATGGTGAAGTAGGTTTGTTCGGTGTGAGGCCGGTGTTCCCGGAGGGAATGGGTGAACTTTCCAAATCCTCTTTTCATAGACACGGATAAGGCCTTAAGCCACTCCTTTTGTAGATGCGGT